CTTATCTCATTTTCAAGGTAGCCCTGCAGACAATTAGTGGTGGTAATAATACAAAATGTGTCCAGCACTAAAACCTGGAATGGCCATTACAAGTAAACTATATGATGTATAATAACCACTCCACTCAATTACCTGCACAAAAATGCAAGGATTTAAAATTGTGGAGCTCTATCATACATCCAGTTAACTGATCTACCTACCTGCCATTCCTTCCTTTCTTACAATTTAAATTCTATCTTGTAGCATGTCATCTGGTAAATTAGCAAAGCCGTATGTTTGTATGTATTGCCTACCCTTTCAATATGTGTGTTTCAGCACATATATATGTATACAGTGGTATGAACATGATTTTGGCTGGCAGTGGGACAACAAATAATAACTACACAACAATTCAATGCATACGTATGCCTATGACAGTATGTAGTAGATGTGTTTGTTTATGTACTGTTGCTGCCTGGTATACTTAATTTGTCATTTTTAGTGTCTATTCCCCTCCTATGTAACTGTTCCTGTAAATTTTGTACCTGTTAAAGAAGCCTTGCTATTTAGTACTTCAGATGAAGTCCTGGGGGATAGTTGTGTGACCAGTCTGCCATTACCATTAGGGGGGCAAAGCTGTGAGAACATATCAGCAGGACCTGGACGATGGGGGTGTCTGTCCAGCTAAACTGCTGGGCTTTCTCTTTGGTCGGGTCCAGCAGCTTAAGCATTTTGCCAGCTCTATGTTTCAGGGAGAGAAAGGATTTTTCTTGCAGGGATGGCTCAGACCTGGGAGATACTGGTTCTTTTTCCTCCTTTGCACAGATTACATTTGTAACCTCAGGCAAACAGCTCTAGCTTGTCTGTGCCCCAGTTACTTGAGCAGCAAAATGGGGAAAATAGAAAACTGCTGCTTACAGGATATTGAAGATAGCAATTTGTTCATATTTGTAAACTCTGTTCTATCAGAGGAACCTTATGTATTATGGCACATAAAGGTTTGCTGACATTTGCGCTAGGAATGTGGCCATTTGTCTAGCGGCAGCAAAAACATCTTTAAATCATACGGAAAAATAAGGCATGATAAAGCAAGTGCCCTGAAGCATATTCCAGCCAAAGCATGCATATGTCATAAACTTTCCCGGTGACTATGTAACATTTTTCTAAAGCAGTACTGTTAATTCAGTCAGCAGCACTAGGGATAAGATCACTTTTAAGACCTCACGACTACTGGTGTTGGCACATGAGTGGCTGGCTGCTAACTCCACAGAGGTGCTTTTGTACTCTGATGCTCCCCCCTTTCTCCCTCCCCACTCGTAGGATAACTCCTTCTGGTATTACTTCACTTTTCTGTTAGTGAGCACTTTCCCCCATAAATATGACTGAACAGGTGTTACTCTGCTACTAACTGAGTTTCCAGCTGTCCTCCTCCAACACAGACCAGGCAAAATCTGTTGTTTCGTCCTATTAGACAGACTAGAGAACTATCAAGGCTGAGATGGAGGTCTTCCTCGCAGGATATGGTAGTTTTGTTGCCAGAAGATGGTCAGGAAGGTCTGGCTGGCTAACAAGGACAGTCCTTCAGCTGCCTGGGTGTAGTTCCAGTTTTGCATCCCTTTGGCAGCTGCACAGAGACTGCTGCAGTGTGGCCAGCCAGCAAAATTAGGAAATAAGGACCTCTTTTATTTACTCAGGCTGCTGAATCAAAAAAAATCTGCTTGGAGAAAAGTCAGGCAGCTCTACTTTCCACTGGAAGTCTCAGGAGTGCTTGGTACTTTCATCTCAGAGTGTTCACACACTTGTTTTAATGTGCTTTATGGAAATGGTGAAACTCAGCAAGTACAGTTGGTGTAGAAAAACATCTGCACTAACTATTCACACACATTTGCATCTTTAAATAGACTTTTAGGCCTTGTAGCCGATTTCCAGCAAAGTTTTTTGGTTGTGAGTGCTAGAGCTTTCTTAGAGTCGGTGAGTGTAAAGTGACTGGTTCCAAAAATTAAAAATTTACATGGACATGTTAAGTGCATCACATTGAAACTCAGAATACTTGCCATAACACAAAAAAGGCATTTACAGTAAGTAGCACTTAGTGAGTGCCGTAGGAAAAAAAAAAAAAGTCAATAAAGAAAATATATTTTAAAACTCCATAAACACTCTTAACCTAGAGCCCTCTTTGGCCCCCAGATGGATGTGTACCGCTCCTGGGGACTTGTACGTGTGCATCTCAATTTGGTCCACAGTATTTTAGAACAGCTTGTTATAACATTAAAAATCAGTATTTGTAATGTTGACATAGCTTGGTGTGTAGGTGTCTGCGGATTTACATACACATGGCTGTATGAGAATAGCAGCAAACTGTGCTTTCTACAAGAGTGATCAGCAAAAAGGGGTTCAAAGTCCTTTACCACAACAGCAGGTCAAACATTATCCCCAACACAGGGCCGGCTCTGTGGGAAGTGCCCCTGGGAAAGCGAGAGCGGAGTCCACATCCCGAGGCTGCTGGTTAGCTGCGGGGACCTTCTGTGTAGCTCCTCCATCACGGCTTTGATCTGCTTGCCTAACACCCGCGCACGTGGTAGCAAACCATGGATCACTGCATTTTTAAGGAGATGCTCTTAATGGTTGCACCGTCAATTTTATGGGGCAGCATCTTTGTGGGGAAGGCTGGGGAGACAGCAGGACGGGCAGCGCCACCATTCACATCCTGCTGTAGCAGTAGCTACCCTTAGTCCAGGCAGTAGTTGCCCTTAGCCCGGGTTTCCTTCTTGATTGCTGTCCTCAGATCCATTCCTAGACAGCCCCGAGCTCCCTGGGCACGTTATTCCATCGCACGCAATGTTCGCAGTGTTCAGGTTGGAGTCTCCACAGCAAAAGTCACTACAGCGAAATGTTTCCCTTGTTGCAGAAGCAAGGTTTCAAAAGTCCTTCATCAGGCAGCTGAGTGCCGACAGTCTGGGCTTTGGGAACCCTTTGTGCGATTGCAGCCTGGGGGCCCTCCTTCCTTCCGCAGTGTGGTGGCCGGCCGCTGGTGCCCCTTCTAC